ATTCATGCCATTTCGAACGATTGTAGCAGCCCGAGCACACGTCACATAAATGACGGACAATCAGATGTAAGGATCGGTATCATATTTAAAAGCGCCTTCAAAGCGGTGCCATTCCGTATCAACAGTCATTTTATATCGCTATTTAGGTTCACGAGGGCAATCGAGTGAATTATAAACTGTGAAAGACTTATTTTCTAGCCATCTGTCACTGATTGTAAAGTTGGGTGGGTAGAAAGCGAAGAACCAGTGAAATTTGCGTTAACAGGCTTTTCATTGGAACACCCTGCCTCAGTAACCCAGTCAGTCGATTTCTGATGACCGAGGTTCAATCATTCCAATAGCACTTCCTAACATTCGTAAGTTGTTTGTGTGCTCCCTCTCCAGTTAAGACACAGCCGATGTTTTGTTTTGTATGCGAAGTACACCCGATGTTGGTATTACAGAGCTTTACTATGTATCCTGCTCTTTATGGAGACTATTAAGGTACTGAAAGAGATCTTGGGACTCATACGAAAGTCATCATATTGTGTAGAGACTTGGGGGCAGAAACTACATTATGATGGTGGTGTTGATGCGTGGACGACCGAAAACTGGCAGTGAGTACTAGTTCGTAAATAACTCATACTGGCGTTTAACCATCCCATTCGGCATGAGATTCAAATTGTTTTGCGCAGGTCATCGTTGTATTGGCGATAAGTAATTGCCAGGTTACGCAGGCTTAAGCCGAAGGACGGCTAGGGTTCCCGACCTCAAACCGACCCACAAGATGCCTTTGGGTAGAAACATTTTAAAGGAATATACGATGACTGTGTATCCAAAACCTGTAAGCCCAAGAGATTGCTTGTTTCCAGCATCATCCATCGGTTGATCGGAGAATGAATGGTGTGTAGGAAGCCCCCATTCTTCAGCCAGTCGCCATGTGATGATGATATCGACTGTTTTTGTGATAATTATTGCTTTATGCCAACGATGCCTTTATACGCTGCTCTAGAGCAGGGTAACTAAACTGAGCCCAACCAGTCCTTCTCTTTGTGGCTAACGCTCTATGGTTTTAGGCTTGTTTGAAGTGTTTGAAGGAAAAAAAGATAAATTATGGACGGGTGGGACGTCATTCTAAAGATGGTGACCCTAAACGTTCTCAACTCGTCGCCCCTCTAGTTCCTTACGCGAGACGCCATCATTTTCTCGGTACACATGTAGTAGAACTAAAACAGCTCTGGCATAAAACCCGACAGAAACGATCTTCTATGCGATCTTTCCGAAAAGGGACCAACTCTGCATAAGTTTAACGGTTCGTTTTCCTGTAATGATATACACCAAAGTATGAAGGCTGATGCGGTGGGTACAGTTGACAGGTGGATACCAGGTCATTAATATGGCCGCAAATATCAAGCGACGACATATAAGCGAGCTCACTGAAATAAGTTCATGCTGCAATAGAAGAAACAGCTGAACGACGTTCATTATTATACAGTGCTAACAACGCGCCGTCACAAACCTGGTGAGCTGCTCAGCGCACATGCAATGGAACTGGCAATTCGATGAAGTCGATCGTGGTCAGAAGCATACTGATATTCTTGAACAAAGTGTGCGTAGCACAGGCTACCTGAGGATTCCATTGCGAGTCTGTTTCAATTCGTTACAAGTAACATGGAACGGCTCCTCAAAACAAGAAGGAACCGGTCGTGGTTTACCTGCGGATTTTGAGATATCGTCTCGCCAAAAAAACAAATCGGAATTTATGATTGGTTGTTGTTTGCTAGTTCTACAATACTGAAACAGAATGATCATAAAAGCTGTTTCAAAACCTACCCTAGACAAGCAAACATTACAGTCAAGTCTATCCAGTAAACAGAGTTTAACTGGGGGGCCTGCATACAATTAGACGCTTACTGGCAAACGAGCTTATTTGGATAGTAGCACAAGTCTGCTACCAATCAATGGGTCCAGTCTATCTTGATTTGTTTACATACACTCACTGCAGTGTGAAAATGCATGTGGACGATGCGTGTGGACAATAAAAAGGCGGCTACCCGGATAGAATTCAAATGTCACATGAGATTAGCATTTCAATAAAAGGAACGACTGTTTACAAATATTTTAAATATTAGACCCATTTATCGCTGTCTGTCACCCGGTCCATATCTGATTTCAGTCCCCTGCCGTTGTCATACCCATCGCTCTGCCTGAGAAACTCTTTTAGACTGTGTTGAATAACACATTTGTATGGGTTTCTTCTTGTGAAGCGTTATATGTTACCTGAAACAAGTTTCAAAAGGAGAAACGGTGAGCGCGTTCTCTCATCCAACATGACTGAGAACAAGCAAGAGCTTCTGTCAAAACGTCGCACCAAGGCTGTACGCACACAAGGATGAGGTCTTTCTGGCTGTGTACTTCGAGTGACCAGTGTGTCGTCCTTTAATCTTCCCAAAGCAATATGAAAAAAAGCCCGGCTAGATCCGCCCAAGTCAGTCCGATAGCGACAGAAGACCGTATACTGACTACGACCTAACTTTGTGTGTATACCAAAGTTTAACGGTCTATGTAGGGTCTCGTTATAGCTTGATAGCGGCTTTAAGATTAGGCTACAGAAGAACTGAGTTGACTTATTCTAAGGATAAAACGGTAGAACAAGCCGAGTTTCGTTTAAAAAAAGTAGGCCGCTTATTGAGTTGAGTGGCTAAATTAAACGTGGAAAAGTACCAGACAACAGCACAGAATCTGTTACGGTGTTTGTCCGAAAGCATATTCCAACCAGATACAAGCTAAACCGAGTGCTTTCAAGGAGAAAACGAGTGGTCATGAAGCCGAAGTAGTAAAGCTTACTGTACGAGGCTCCTTAGATGAGCACACGCTTTTGGTTGGAGTGTGCTGTTGGTGTGCAGGCGTGTAGCAAGAAGGCAAAAAGGGCGGAAGACAAATCAGCTTGGCTGCTCTGGCTGTTGAAACACATGGATTTCGAAGAAGTCAGTGTAGTCACTGATGAAGTCACAAATGTATTTACGACCAGCTATCTACCACAATTTTGTCTTCACAACTTTCAAGTGCCCACTTAAGATCAAATATAATCCAGCGTTGTAACGAAAAATTAAAAAGGTTCAGATGTTGACTCCTTGATCGGAAAATTATCGTTTGATACGTTTAAAAGATTCCAGAATTATTTATCGGTATCTTATCCACACTAAACCTTCAACAGGCGCAGTAGACTATGCTGGTAGGGGTGAGTAATCCAGAGAAATGGCCCATATCTTTTCGGACGTCTCCTGACAGACACGTAGGAATTCAACGCGTGATATTGGGTGCTCCTGTGATTGAAGTCATTCCTGTTAGTAGTTACACTGCATACCATTTGACCAAAACTGGCCGATAGGTGATGAGATGACCTTATGACTGAACAGAATTTGGTGCAACCGACCATCAGTCAAGCGATTCATATGACGTAGTCCACTGTTGGCTGGTCCACAAAAGACAGTTTTCCACTTGAAAAGATCCGTGTTACTTCCATCATTGTTTGCTTTCTGACCAAGTAATTTACTTGCTTCCTGAACCGTGTGTTCTCTTCCAGAAATGGTTTAGGCAAATTTTTTTCTCAGGACGTAATGTTTGCAGCCGGTTGTTGGGTTTCATTTCCGCTAAAACGTTCGCGCAGGAGGGCATAAGAAACGAATTAGGTCGATGACGGTAGCCTTGTTAATGCAAGCAAAAGTTGGAAAAATACCGGTGCCAACCGTAAGGGTCAGCTTATCTGGTCTGTCCATCTCCAATTGTGTGCACATATGGGAATAAACGCGAGGAAGGTAAGTCAGAAACATTGAAATCAGGTAATATCTAACTGGTTATTTGGATTGACCAGCAAGACATTGTGACCCTAGATTATGAGGCACCGTTTGGAAGCAACGATTGTCAGGAGCGTGGCATATTCAGTTTTTGGAGTGTTATGCGTCGAAGCAGATGGTCGCATCTGAGCTGGGTAAAGATTATTGATGCAAGACGCCTCAAACTGGATTGGAGTGTGTAAAGAAACCCGGTACTCATTTTGACCTTATTCTGTGAGAACAATAAAGTTAAGGGTGGAGCAAATCTAACTCTATATACCGCTGTCTTCATTGATCTCTGCTTGTTCATTCAGTTTCAGATCTGGCGCTCACATCCGTGAATTTAAGGTTGTCCGATCGTGTTCCCACCGCGAAATTATTGCGCACTTTTGACCCAGTTGGCTTGGTTTTTCCTGCGCTGTTCTGCGTTTAGTCTGTGTTGATTGCGACGAACGTTGAATAATGACTGAGATATCACTAACGGTAACACTCCTGTCGATCTTTAATCTTTCTTGATGTTAATTTGGACTGAAACGATGAGGATTGATGGTTCACTGTTTTTCGCCAACGATACAGAGCGACCACTGAATGGATGGTTGAATTGAAGCCAATGGATCAAACTACACGCGTGGTGCTTTATCACAGATTCTTAGGCAGTGGAAGTATTCCGTACATCTATTTCATAGGCGTGGCACACTTTCTATGAGTGTTATCAAACCCCTTTGAAGATGAATGTGGTCTACAAACGATGGAGCACCAGGTCAATTATTAGTGAGATAACAACTCTACAGATCTTTTTACTAAGTGATCAGATACTGTTACATGGTCCACTATGTCAGTTCTTGGAATTTGTTTTGGATGTATTTGACCAAACAGCACCATTGAAATCCCTTTATTCTGCCTATGCAAGTAGAGTGGTGGAGTAAGTGCCAAAAGTAGGAGATTCCGTTGGGTGTACATGAATGATTTAGTTCGTTTTTAAACCTCTTTCGGGTTCAGTAAATGAGCAAATAACAGATCAAATCAATACAACACAAATAAGAAAACAAAATCGGTTGGAAAAGTCTAGGCGAAGTTTAGAGCTTGTCCTCGAAAAGTATTCGAGGAATTGACACAAAGAACCCAGTTGACGTTCTTCTCCCTTTGTTTGGGCATTTACTAATGCAAAATTAGTAAATCACTTACTTAGCGTTGCAGCCATATTCAGCAGCTGACCGAAAATGCAACTTTCCGGGACCCATGTACCAGTATCACTGAAAAAAAACAGTGACATTCGGTTAGTCAAGTCTTCAAAGCAGGTTGCAAACAATGTCTCCTGAGAACAGCTCACATTACACACTAAGTGTGGGTTGCAAAATGATGGCCACAATCGTGAAAATAGTAGAATTTAGGCTATTGGGATTAATCGCAGCAACCCTGCTGGAAATTCCCTATCGGTATTACCTGTTTTTCCAATGCGAAAGCTTAGTCAACGTGGTATGCAGTGCGGTCATCGCTGAAGTATATATATATATATATATATATGTACATATATAGTATAAAATAATACAATAGTGACATAATGTAATATAATGCAAAATAATATAGTATGATGTAATGTGATATAATACAATAATATATATACATAAAAACTTGACAGATCGGTATCTGGTCCCGTGTATCTAGGGGATAAAAAGACTGTGGGCTTAGGGCTCGTAAGATACTGATGGTCTTCCCTAGAATGGACTAAACAGCTCAGTACTGTCTTTTGTATTCGGCATGGGTTGACCGCACAGTACAAACCCAGTATTGGACACTGGGACAGAAAATGGTCACTTTGCATTAGAGGGGAGTGTAACCAGATGTCTGATTGAAAATTTGAACCATACTTACCTGATGTAGGGGAATAATATTGAAATGTGATCAAGAGATGCTGCCATTGCGTAGCTGCGATTGAAGGAAAGGATACAAAGAACGAGCGGTTAGGTGAGGAACACCAATTCGGAACTGATAGTTCGCATTTATTACGAAAGAATAGAAAAAAGAATAGAAAGAATATAAAAAATACAAAGACGTCGCGAAAGGAGTAGTGATGTTGTACAACAAATCGCTTGTTTGCAACTTTAGAATGTGTTAACGTGATGTGATGTCTTTTAACCAGACGTACAGCTTGAAGGCCCTTTACATAACATATATAGTATAAAATAATACAATAGTGACATAATGTAATATAATGCAAAATAATATAGTATGATGTAATGTGATATAATACAATAATATATATACATAAAAACTTGACAGATCGGTATCTGGTCCCGTGTATCTAGGGGATAAAAAGACTGTGGGCTTAGGGCTCGTAAGATACTGATGGTCTTCCCTAGAATGGACTAAACAGCTCAGTACTGTCTTTTGTATTCGGCATGGGTTGACCGCACAGTACAAACCCAGTATTGGACACTGGGACAGAAAATGGTCACTTTGCATTAGAGGGGAGTGTAACCAGATGTCTGATTGAAAATTTGAACCATACTTACCTGATGTAGGGGAATAATATTGAAATGTGATCAAGAGATGCTGCCATTGCGTAGCTGCGATTGAAGGAAAGGATACAAAGAACGAGCGGTTAGGTGAGGAACACCAATTCGGAACTGATAGTTCGCATTTATTACGAAAGAATAGAAAAAAGAATAGAAAGAATATAAAAAATACAAAGACGTCGCGAAAGGAGTAGTGATGTTGTACAACAAATCGCTTGTTTGCAACTTTAGAATGTGTTAACGTGATGTGATGTCTTTTAACCAGACGTACAGCTTGAAGGCCCTTAGTCTGACAGGCTTATAAGAAGCCCTAGTGACTGGATAAAACTAAGCATATCTGAGAACACAAACAGGATAACACAGGTGGTGCATTCCCATTTCACTTAATACGGGATTCCTTGATACGTTGACTAAGGTAGACTTTGACTTTGAACCCAGACTAAAAAAGCTAGATGACAGCGAGCAACTGGTAATGATCTGCTTTAAAATACGGCCTTAACCTCCACACTTTTCGACTGCGTCAATTTCATTCTGAAAATAGTATGTTCGTTGATCTACTGCTCGCACCAAATAATACCTTATCTTTGCTGAACGGAGTTTGGCCCACAAGGATTTTTCACGAAAAATCGTATGGGAATAGTATGATGAACCAAGGCTAGATTATGGGCGTGCATATTTTCGTCCAGAAATATTATTTTCTAAACAGGTTATGATGCCAATAGTTAGACATAAAATGTCCAGTTTGGAAGTACAAATGAGATCATTGGGGACCAGGGTCTGTGACTCACTGGAAACAGTCAGCTATTTACGGAATTTCTAAGGCAAAACAGGAAAGTAACTGGGTTTTTCCGCATTTCTGTTTCTTCAGTTTTGAAAGTGCCAGAACACGTCTCCCAACAACATTTGGGTACTACTTAAACAGAAGGACGTTTATTGGGAAGAGTCTACTTATTGCAGATCTTAACTTTCCAAGTCAACGAAATGCCAAAAAATAACTCTCTCTCACTCTTGATTTCTGAGGGACTACTTTACCTGAAAAATTAGCTGTATGTATCCTGACGTAATCAATAGGAAGGCGCTATTTAATTAAGTCAGAAAGGTAAGAGAGTTCAAGACAACTATTCACCTTTAGCTAGTTTCAGTCGCCAGGGTAAATCATTTCTATTGGGTTAACTCTGTTACGTTTGGCCAAAAGATACCCCGTAATCGATGAGGATGGATTTCGGTAGGTAGCCTTATGAATATGTAAACGCCTTTAGTTGTGTGCATTCAATATCTCGACCATCTTTGAATTGGGTCTGTCCTCTAAGACTGCCATTGGGGCTGTAAATGAACGGGTTTATGCTACGGGAGTCAGGGTGCTCGGCTCCTCACATTTTATTGGCCCTTCGGGAGAGCGGCCGCTTTGAAAGACAGATGAGCAGAAGCGCAACAGGAAAAGCATGGTTTGGAGCTACTTTGAATATGCTTCTTACTAAGTCACATTCCTCAGTCACTGAAGCAAGAAAAAAGATGTGGGGGTATTGCACATTGCATCCTACCATGAGTCCGTCCTCGGGGACCTGACATTCTAAACGTGCTCATCTCCCTATAAGTGAAGTTAACCGGCGTAAAACCTTCATGCGTGCCACATTCATCTAGGCATAACTAAGGTTCCGTACATTCTCTAAATTCACCATCATTTGTTTTTGAATTACTTCCATTCACACAAATGCAAAGTTGGTTCGGAAAGCTTTTTGTTCTTGTTCTAAAAAATACTTGTCTTTCCTTATGTAAGCATGGGTGCATATCTACATATGCAAATTAAGCATGCTGACGACAGACGACCAATCAAACAGAGTACGATTATTGGAACTGTATGGCAACCTACCTCCAGCTTATTCACTGGGTGATATTTTCTACCGATAGACATTACTCGAGTCATTACGCTATACCGACTGTCAGCGGTTATGTCTGTGACCACTGTAGAGAGGTTTCGTTTTGGTGCGGTCGGAGTGGGCACATACTCACACTGTTCGAAAATCACAGTGTAAACACAATTCACACTTTTCATGCAATCTTTTTTGCTTGCTGAGTAACATTTCCGTTTGTTGAAAAAATCAGTAATTTGAATAATGAGTAGTCCTAAAGGCAAGGCACTCGTGAAACTCGACTGAAATTTCCACTTTTGATGTCACTCAGATGAATATACAAGACAAAGTCTGTCTCACAGTTTATTTGGTATGGTATGCTCTTTTAAACCAGCGTGGTGGAAACTGCCGAAAGCCTGAAGCTGGTTTTGCTTGGTTTGAGGTTTATTAGCCACCCCCGTCTTCGTAATTAAACATGGCATTTTACCTACGATGATTTTGCTAACCACTCGCACACTGAGAGAGTGTAACGTTTAATCCCAGATTAATCTATTGTGATGAGGCCGAAATAGGACGAAACCAATGAACGGTAGGTTGTCGGCTAATTTTTATCATCCTTCCAATGCCAGCCATGAGAAATCGTACATTTACGTGAAGTTTACAGTGTGAATGATTTTTTCCGTCCATCAAAACAGATTAACTTATCTGAGCCTATATTATAAATGTACGTATACATGTATATATACACATATGCGCCTCATCATTATTTTCGAAGACTGTGGTTCGTTTCGACAGAAACTTTTGCCTTATATCTACTATGTGGTGTTTCCTTCTGTTCATACTATAATTTCACGATACTGATCATTGTCCAGTGCACCCAAAAGACCTGTTTGTAGCTCGAATCAGTCTTCAACCAGATCAGCGATCTGGACCTGATGGAAACATTGCAGTCATATCAAAGGTTATCAGATAATAATAACTATAATAATAGTAATAATCGTTCAGCTGTAACGCCCTTCCGGTGCCTGGCTGCCATGCCACCCGAAGGGAGGATATCAGAAGAACTAAATACGTATTCACTGTGAAGCCCGTTTAAATTAGCATACAGTCATATAACTTGTCTAGATACGCGATAATCAAAATACCGATTCCACACGCATTGACCAAGAGAATGCTGTTTAACCTCTCATCATTTTGAGCAGTTTCCAGTCTATCTAGACAGATTCGTGACGCGCTTCATGGAGGATTACCAGTATAATTGCATTTGGCTGTAAACGCATTTAGGGTTTCCCGGAACAGAGCGAATTCATTTGGGGGACAAAAGCTTGTTGAGAATGAAAGTTATAGAGATGGGTCAGTCAGTGACATCACCTTTAACTAGATCTGTCCATCCAAAGCAAGGAACGATAAGAGAGGTTCGGGTGGAATGAGTATGATGAAACCACCAACTTGGCAAATTATTTATTAGCTTTGTCTGGTAGGTCCGCAAACTGCATTTTTAACCTAAGTGAATCATGCATACCTACTTTTAAGAAACAGACACCCATGCTTACTGGTGTTTGCTCTATTTTCGCAGAAGTATTCACCGTCTCCCGAAGAATGCCCATCAGAATACCTGGCCTAACCAGCCGAAGAGTGTTTGTGAAAATATTCACTGGGGAAATACCCGTTATTAGTAACATTTCATCCGCCTGGAAGTTGTACTTATCAACCTTTTTATAGCCTCTCGATTTTTTTAGCTGAGTTAACAGTTAGCGTCCTCCATCTTATTCCCAGTTCCTGTTAACAGGCAACATCATAAATTCGAAAACAGACCAATCAAATTACGCAACGGTCAATCCGAAAGAAACCAGTCGCATAACTGATATCACGCACTCTTTAGAACATATATAAGTGCACGTTGAATT